CATGTATCAAAATGTCCATAACCATTGGTGGAGACACGTTATAACGTTTTTGTATATATGCCAAACGACTGAATTTACCATCATCATCATTACTACTAATGACACCGTCATCACTGATTTATTATTGGTATTAGTATTATTGTGATTTGATATTGTTTTTTTAAGTTTGGTATTTTACATAATTATAATTTGATTTTAAGCTGTTTAGTTGATTAAATTTTACAATAATTTAATCCAGACGATTCTCGACGCTTTATTTCTTGTTAATGTCATCAAGGGCAAAATTAATTGATTATTCCACCTTGAGCCGTCTGTGTATTTGTGTACCTGCAAGGCAAATAAGAAAACTTTCCGCTTTTGGTGTGAGAAGTGCATAGTCATTCAGCTAAAAGTGACGTATACATTTTTTACTTTATCAGCAAAAGTAATGTCTCCTTTGAAGAAAATTTTCTCAAGACCAGAACGTGGTTAGATATTTTACATGTGTTCAGTTCAAAATTTATTTTCACTTGTTCTTGTTTAAAGTGTGCATTTGTTAATATATAATATAATAATATATAATATAATATAATATATAATATAATGTCTGTCATAGGCTCTTTCGTGTTGGCACTCAAATGAATTGAATTGAGTTATTATTTGTATTATTATTATAAAAGTTAATTAGTACTATTTTAAAGTAAGATTGTACTAGATCGAACGGCGCAATATCCCACAAGCCAATAATATTTTTTGCTGTTGTTATTACTATTAATTTAATTAATTATTCGGTTGTGTCCGTCTAATCACAATTATATTTAAAATTTACAAATAAGATAATTAAAATATCATCAATGTTCCAAATGTAAATCGATTATTCGATGTGAAACATAAAATGATATTTTAATTATCTTATTTGTAAATTTTAAATATAATTGTGATTAGACGGACACAACCGAATAATTAATTAAATTAATAATGGAGATCTGATATGGTTCAGCGATCTCAGTGCTTTTGTAAGGGCCATAATTTCAGCTTCTTGCCCGCTTAATCGCAAAGCCTACTTGATGCTTGTACAACTCACTGCCTTTGTTTCTTTTTATTCTTGAGAAACTGCAGAACAAGAAACCGCGAGCTATAAATAAAAGAAATAAATTATTGAACGTTTCCTGTTGGTCTCTGAAGGAATTATGACCTTTATGTGGAAACTGAGACCACAAAAATGATTTATATGTGATGATGGGAAATTCGCCACAGTTGCGCGCAGTATTTTTACGTTTATGTCCGTTGTCCAATCACAACGCTGTTTAATGACTGTCGCAGGTAACATAGATCAGTTGTGAGATTTCAGGTTCTTCTGTGTTGTTGTGCTGTGTAGTGTTGTAGAACTTTACCGACGTTTCAGAATTACTTGCTGCCTTCATCATCAGGGTCATGATCCTGTACCTATGAAACGTCGGCAGTCTTGTACCAGACTACAGAGCACGACAGCCAACTTCAGAGATCAATGATTTTTATCAACGTACGTTCTAAAAATTTGTAGTCTTTACATTTGATATTGATATTATTACATGCCAATTTTAATGAATGAGACTGGAATATTTATGTTCATCTCTGAAATATCTAACTAAATTTCTGTATGAAGCCCCCAGGTAAACTTGTAATATGACGTTATATATATGGCTCTCGTTTCTTCCGACGTATCTCCTGTGCTAGACTACTCAATGACTTTGGAGTCACCTGTGTTATTTACAGGCGCCAAACGGAGTTTTGTTCATGATTCAGTAATTAGTCGCATATTCAGTTTGTCTCGATGCCAGCGAATGTAAAATTTTATTTTTTAATGTTGTTTATTTTACGCGTGGGCAATGCTTCCAGTATCATTGAATTATGACAAGAGAAAGTTGCGGGTTTGGAACCTGTATTCATGGAATGAGAATGCAAAACGCATGGTTTGGGTGTGTGTACTAATTGAACAGACTAGCTAGACAATATATAATTAAAATCGAAACAAGTGACAATCACACTGTTTCGCCTGCGGCTGGCAGGAACTGGTCCAACCACAAGATACGCCGAGCAGTGATATCGTGTTCGTGTTTGTGTCTGTAGTTCGCTCGCAGAAACGTCTCAGCCAGTTGATCGATTTTCTTGCAAATGCGGTGTGAACGTCGTCATACCTTGGGCATTTGCTACGGAAATTTGTCACAGAATTTTTCGACTGGAAATGTTAGTTGCTAATGCTTAGTTATGGAACGAAGACAAAAATTGTGTTTAGGATTTGAGGTTTTGATGGCTGTGCGTCCGAAGATGGATGAGTTCTGTGTAGTCTGGTAAACGTTTACAGACATTTCAGAGGGCCTTGTTTGTAAGTGCTTACACATCACCCTGATGATGGAGGCTGCAAGGACGTATGAAACGTTGGTAAACTTCTACAAGACTACACGGCGCTGAAACCCTGAAGAGAGCAATCTACAATTCGTGTTTAGTTGTCGACACGTGACCATATTTCACAACTGAGTAATTAAATATTTAAACACACAACTGACATTTATATCAATGACTGATGATTCTTTTTTATTTGGAATTTAAAGTTCTTGGATTAAAATTTGTGTAGGATCCTTGATAGATTAGAATGTAAAGTGACTTATAACCTCGGCGGTTTACCGTTGTATGGGGCTGCGGATAGTAGCTCAATAATTGGTGGGCTGGGTATGTAGCGCGCACGGGATATATGAAAAAACACACAAAATTTTAGTTGGACTTTCTGAAGGAAACCGATCGCTTAGATGGGAGGATACTATTAAAATTGACTACAGGGAAATAGGATCGTCGGTATGGGTTTGATTTACATTGAACAAAATAGAAACCTCTGACAGTGCGTGGAGGTTTACCGATGGTTCGAATTTCATTTGCTATGCCTACTATCCGGACTGAAATTCGTAGTTTTCCTCAGTCTCTGATTGTTTTAGTTATTCAGAATTATTTTGAATTTTAAAATTATATAATAAATAACGTACGAAGTTGGGACAGCGTTGTTGAATAGGCCAGGAACAACCTAGTAATCGCGATGTAACAGGTCGGTCGAGACGGATGGACTTACAAACTGCAGAAGGTTTGTTCGCCTGTAAGATTTCGAGCGCCTGACAAGAGATTTGCAGGGAACAGTGGACAGAGATTAACTGCCGGTCTGCCGAGACGCGTAGCACGAAGTCGTGCGGTGATGCACCGACGTCGTATCAACTGAAACATGGGAAATATTTGGGTCTCAGATTAAGTGCTGCATTTTTCTCTACCTAGTATTACTAGAATGATTAAATCAAGATGATTCAGATGATTGTGTGATCCGGTGTAGTTCAGTCAGTGCAGGGGCTGAAATAGTTTGCCGGAAATATCAAAATAGTTATCTTCTTTGCCTCTGTGTCCTGACCGTCTCTGGGGCCACACGGCCTCCTATCCAACGGGTACCAGGGTCCTTTCCCTGGGGGAGGGGGGGGGCCGCTGCCGGAGCGTGACGCTGAAGTCACCCCATCAGTAGAAGCTATATCTTTTCTCCCCGCAAGTAGTGGAACACCTTCAATATGGGCGTGGTATAGAGGACGCAGAGCTGAAATGAGGAATGTATAAAAGACCTCTTGGGAGAACTAAATGTAGATGGAAGGATGACATTGGTTGAGTTCACCTTTGTACTAAATAATATTTAATGAGGTGGATTTTTTGACTATGTGATGAGCCTTTGGGTGTTATAAAATTAGATTATTGCTTAATAACATGAGTTATTATTAATTCTGTGGCAAGTCCGTGCAGTCCGTAGTGACTTATGTACGATATAAATTATGGAGCGGACAGCAGAATATTTATTGTGGACCCAGGCTGAGAGATTCGTGCATAGAATTCTAGGCACCTGAGATAATTATGGTTTAATATTGTAAAGAAAAGAGAGGGCTTTTTTGAAAGGGCGAATTGCAGGGAGGACACGAACTAATTTGAAAGCCATTACAGTCACAAGCAGACCATTGCCATTTCTCTTGATATTCTCATATAATCATTTTATCCCTCGGGTATTGCTTCGGACCGTTCACAATTCCCTGAGGATTTCGAGTTGTCATGTTGGTAATCCCATTAGGGTGGCAACCCACTGTGCCTCATGAAAAGTTGAGGGCATTCTGTGAACCCTGAGTTCGAGAAATGACATTTCAAATTATTGAACGAGATCGGGAAATTTGGCCTCCGTTCATATCGTGTCTCATGTATTAATAAAGATCACATTAGTAGGTACATACTTAATGACCAATTTATAATTAGTATCACGTTTTGTAAGGGAAACGATCGTAATTAATACGGAATGATAAATTTAAAACACAACCCCAACTTCTATACTTCGGCACAGAACGTCGAAACCAATGGAAGTATTGAATTCTTCGATATCTCGATGTTGCAGTTGATTCACTACTTCCGGTCGGTGTGGCCGTAGTTTCAGCTGTTTTGTCGATCAATAAGCAGTTACTACACACGCTTCCTGTCTACTGAAGTTTTTTTTTTCCCCCCGCCTGTTCGGTACTTACTTGTCAGGACATGCATTGCGATTTCGATGTGAAGTAAAATGTTCGAGAATGAAGAACACACGGTCTGCTCGTGAATTCAACATTTTTACACCTGAACCAACTTTGGCGTAACTGGCGTGAGCTACCCGCCTTTTACTATCTCAGCTTACGCTTGGAGATACCCGGTAAAATAACGGAGACTTTCGTATGTTATTTCTTACGCAGTTTTCTATTAAATTTACAAGTGACATGAATTAATAGAATGTGTTTAAGCGTTTTTGATAAAAGTGTATTATTAAACTGATGCTCTCTGTGGCGAACCCAACTGACTAGGTTGTGTGTTTTTACCTGATGAAGGAAGCGGAGTACGTTTCCGAAACGCCGTGTGTGTTCTAAATAAATAAATGTTTATTTCACAGACGAAGAATTATGTTCTAGAATACTCATCATTTCTGGGTTAATGTGTGTTCTTGTTTACAGATATAACACTGGAAGAACAGCTGAAGATTGTAAAGCGTTGTGCAGAGACTGAGTAAGTGCTGAACACACACATTTGCGATTTCGTAATGTAGTTTACATGAGGCAGAAAGGAACGATCATCTTCAGCCACTCATCTGAATATGTAGTTGGATATTTATGTAACGTTCAGAACCTAGCTATGCACCTATTAAATCACTCAATCTGTCTGTCTGTCTCAGGAACAGCTGAACAGACTTTCATTACATAAAAGGATGTTTTGTTTATACTTAAACATTATTAATCAATTGATCTTTATAATGGCGGCGTTTTATATATTTTTTTTTGAGGTACAAATTGAACTGTTGTTTAGGATATCAAATCTAAAACTTCTTGACGATGGTGAAGAGTCAATTGAATAAAATTTTTGGATATTATCCATCGTCTAGTAAATATAAAACGTAAAACGACGTTTCGGAGATGGGACTCTATCTAGTGGGCCCAACTGTGTAGGAACCTAAAGACGGAGGTAGAGTCCCATCTCCGAAACGTCGTTTTACGTTTTATATTTACTAGACGATGGATAATATCCAAAAATTTTATTCAATTGTTGTTTAGGAGTTCTATCTGCCGTGACGTCATACCAAACATTTGTCTACTTAAAGTCCATGCTTCTATGTTCCACCTTTAACAAGAGAGGATAAAATGTCATCCACCATGAGAACCTGAAATTTTACAAACTGTGTTAAATTTTCTGGACGGATATTCCACTTTGAGATCTAGCAAGAGGTTCGTGCTACGCTGCCGGAATGTTAGCATTGTTGATAGCAGCATTAGATTATTATTAGTTTTGGGATTTTTATTCCGATCTGTATGGACTACTTCATGCTGGCAAGCAGTGTGCTGGCTTCGAGTGCAGGCGTTCTGGTAGCCGAGAACGAGTCCTTAGGGACATGGCTGGTTCTCCTGCACTGCCCCCTCTTAGGAGTATGTGGGACCTACGAGGAAAAAAGTATATAAATATAAAAGAAATGTCAGAAGTCGCTATATATTTACTGCGTACTGCAGACATATAGTATGTAACAAAATCGATGCTAGAGACATTGGTTATGAAAGTGTGCTGGACTAAAGTGGCTCATGGGAAGATAAAATGTCTGACATTTTCTTGCCAATGATGACTGTAAAGTTAGATAATTATTTATTTTCCTTGCTTTGTTACTCGCACGGAAATATTGGTTATTTAGGATATTTTAATTTGTTGAAGATTAATACTGGTTTGTTCTTGCTAAGTTGTTCACGATATTCCCAACATATTCATTGATTATATCTGTGCTGAGAGCAGTCACAAAAAAATATCGAACGATGTAAAAACGCTTTGTAATATTCAGACTGACCTGTAACAGGTTCTGTTGACATTTTCACTGAACTTTCCTGCTGGTTAGGTGAACTTAACTCTGGTTATTTTGAATTCGGTGAAGTTACAAGGACGCTACGATATTCCAAGACTGAAAATTCTCTGCGTACCATCTCCAAAAACTCACTTACACATTATTTTTATAACAGTCGAGCAACTTAAAATTAATATTTTTATATTAATAATTAAAGCAAAGCTGTCCTGATACACACCATATAGGCGCTTGGAGGGAGAGGTGGTTTTTGCTCCTACTAATTCTTGACCTCGACGCTAGATGGGGTGTGCAGTCAGCGTCACGCCCAAGCCACGCTATACCCCCAGGGAAGGGGCCCCCTTCACCAACAATGGATAGCAGGTTGGTTGTTCCCTGGAGCCAGTCTGGACGCAGAGGCTAGAAGAATCCATTGTTTCTGCCTCCCAGATAAGGGCAGAATGTTGGTAAGGTTACTGAGTGACTTGGTGGCAAGCTCGCTTAATATGCACAGTACTTAGAGAAATACGGTTCGAATCTTGTTTAGGACACTCACTGTAACATTTAATATTTAATTTTTTGAGAGGTGGGGTTGTTTAATACTACTTTGGAACAATTCACCCTCTTCCTCCCCTATCATTCCCACTTTACCTTCGAAGCCAACGCCCTTTTGTCGATAAAGCTCTAAGTAACCAAAGAACCAACTAATCAGGACTGAAATCTGGTTGTTGGAGGTTCGTAGGATTTATTCACAATCAGGAGGATAAGTGGTGGGTGACCTTTCACGGTTTGAAAGGAATACGATCTTCTGTATTTAGACTAACGATGCGCATTGTAGTCGCCGCTTTGTGTAATACAGCTGACAGGGGATGTCTTCATTTTACTCCCTTACATTAAGTCAGCTTTGCTCATTGCATTATCAAATCTGGGTGCATTTTCCGCACAGAAGACCCTACGTGACACGAAACTTTATATACTTCGATATATATCGCCAGCACTCGAATTCACATATCGATTTCTGTGACCCTCTGTAGTCTATATATTCTCTGGTTTCCCCATGCTATTGTTACGCATTACGCCACATTGCTTCAGTCCCCATCCTCCACCCCACCCTGCAACCCGTCTAACCTAAACTACCCTCAAGCGTCTATGTCCATTTGACGTGTCATGATGGATTGCTTTGCCCCCGATTGCTGGTACTGCAGAATCACTCCACAGACTGGCATTCAAGTGGACATACACTCCACAACCACTGATGGCGCCCGGACCCAGACGTTCGCCACAGTCGTCACAAAAGAAAGTCATTGCGATCCGTCTCGAGCTATTAGTTACCAATTTAGAACGAGAGATA